GGCCCGCTGCCCCCTCCTGGCCGGCCGCGCTCTGGGGGAGCCGCTCGCTCCGCCCGCCCGCCGGTGTCCCTGCCGTAGCCGCTGCGCCTCCTCTCCCTGACTCGGGTTTCCCCGGCGCCGCCGCCGTCCCTGCGGGCTGCATGAGGAGGAGGCGGAGGAGGAGGAGGATGTGAAGATGGCGGAGCTGCAGATGCTGCTGGAGGAGGAAATCCCGGGGGGCCGCCGGGCCCTCTTCGACAGCTACACGAACCTGGAGCGGGTGGCCGACTACTGCGAGAGCAACTACATCCAGGTGCGGCGCGGGCCGGCTCGGCCGCGGGGACCCGGACTCGCGGGCCTCCAGAGCCCGTGGGGGTGGGGAGCGGCTGGCGCCCGGCGGAGAGGACGGGGCGGCGCCGGCACCCGCGGGGCCCTCCTGCCTCGGCCGCCGGCGCTGTCAGTGTGCGTGTGTGCGCGTGATGGTTCCTCCGCTCCCTCACATCATTCTGGAAGGTTTTTAAGGAGCGGTGCTACCGCAGAGTGAAGTGCCTCTCTCAGTTTTCTATTATTGCAAATACCTCAAAGACATGTCATCATCATCATCATCATCATTTTTTAGGTTTCAATGGGATACGGTAGAAGAGCGCTTGTGTCGTTGGAAGTTAATGCTGTCTTTCTCCCTCTGGAGAATGGGAAGCTGCACGATAAGGAGTTCCCCACACCCGAGTCCCGTTAGAATAGATCGTTTTCCTTGGGGAAGAACTGACTGTCAGAGAGAATTCGGAAAGTGAACCTCATGGCTTAATTTGTTACCGTGATGGTTGGCTTGGCACAGGGACTCGTAATGGTAGCGGGTGTGCGTGTGCGCGTTCGCACGCGCGTGTGGGCGGAAGATGTTGGAGCGAGAGATGAGATGCAGCTGGACTTGGGTGAAGCAAAAGATTTTGTGAATTTAAAAAAAAAAACAACTTCCTTTAAAAATAATTTGGTAGGATAGCAGATTAAAACACACACTTTGGAAACCCAGCATTTTTTCTTTTTCTTAGGGCTTATTCTGCCTCCATTTTTTTTCTTTCCTATTTAAATTCTCTTGGGATGAGGGTTGAAATGGAAGTGCTGTGTTAAACTGTTTCTTTTCTTTTTTTTTTTTTTTTATAACTGTTTCTTTTTGATCTTTTAAACTTTTTTTTTTTGGAGACAAAGTGTCGCTGTGCAATTCAGGCTGGCATTGAACTCACAACTCGCTGCGATCCTCCTGCCTCAGCCTCTGGTGTGCTGGGATTACAGGTGTGCGACGGCCTAGTCTTTTAAAATTCTGGCCTCTCCTCCCATCAATCCAGACGTCCTTCTTAACATTGGCTGTATTGGAAAGCAGTCTCAAATCTTAGTATAAGTTAAAAAAAAGGGCTCTTATATTTTATGAGGACCACGTGTCTAATCAAAGATGGTGTTAGAAATTTTACTTGACATACTGAAATTCGTATTATCATGTGGGGAACATTTATATTTGCGAATGAACCCGATGTGATCTAAACCATTTCCCTCCAGAGAAACAGTTTGCAGTAGGAAAAGAGTGTGTCTTATGTTCAAGATGAATTAGAACAATAGAAACATCTATATTTGTAAGGTACTTTGCTGAGTAGTATTGGAAATACAGGATCAGTTGCCCAAGTTTTCACAAAATGTATTTCAAAGTCTTCTGTGGCCCAGAACTGTGTAGGGGATTGATGAGTGCACGGGTAGTGTGTTAGTGTAGTTAGTAGAAGAGCTGATCTGTGAGCAGGTTAGTGCCATTCACAGGTCAGCCTTCTCAGAGGGTCCCTCTTGATTCCATCAGCTGAGATTGAAAATACGTATTGGAAAAAAAAAATTGCCTCCCTGTGGTAAAAAGGTGCAGACTTTTCTTGTCATACTTTAAAAGGTACAGTATGACATATTTACTTGATACTTATTTTTACATGACATTTCTATTTATTAGGTGTAATAAGTGATTTAGAGGTAATATATAGGATATGGTGGTGGGTTGCATGCAAATACGATGTCATTTTACAGGAAGGACTGGCGCAGTAGCAGATTTTGGTAGGAGGGGTGGGGCTCTGAGATCAGTCTCTGGTGCATACCGAGAGACAAGCCAAGCCTGGTTAATTTGTGCTTTGTGGTGGGCTGTGGGTGGGTGGGGACTAGAGGAGGCCATGCCATCCTCAGGGCATTCACAGTCTGAGCAGAGAGAGGGAACCTGAGGAACTGAAGTGCTAATTTTGTTGCCTTGTGCAGTATTTTTGTTTGTTTTTAGACAAGGGCTTGCTGTGTAGTTCAGGCTGGCTTTGAACTTGCTGCAGACTGCTTGGCTCAGCAGCTTGAGTGCCAGGGTTACAAATCCATATTTCCATGCCTGACCTTTGTGGAGTATTTTATGGGAGGGAGTTGTAAGTCATACAAAAATTGGGGGTGGAAAAGTGATTGGATTTCAGGTGTTACCAATAAATAATAGGAAAAAAATAGATTTGTCTCTATTTGGAAGATAAATGTTATTATAACTTAGAGGGTTAGTTTTTCTTAGATTATAATTGCTACATGAAGGTAAAAGTACGTGGAATATAAATGTGAGAGGTTAAAGGGATCAGCAGTTGTTTTTTTTTTTAATATTTTGTGCATTTATTCCACTTGCAGAGAGAAGAATGCTATTACTCACAGTATCTGCTTTAGCAGTGGGAGTGAAAATTTAGTTGTGTTGGCATTTTATTTAAAATTTTTGGTGCTGGAGATTGAAGCCAGGTTCTTGTGTGTGCTGATTATACACGCTAGCCCTGAACAGCACCCCCAGCTGGGTGTATGTGGGCATTTTAAAATTTAAAGTATAAATATTGATTTACTAGAAATGGATACAGATTCTAAATGATCTTATTTAGCACTTGAAGTAGATTTTAAACTTTTATCTCTGAGATTATTGTGTACTTTAGGATCTGGTGCGTATATTATTGTGGCGCTTTCCCAGGGTGCAAGCTCTCAGGGATTTGTTTGTAGTAAGATGTTCACTAGAGCATGGCAATAGTAGGTTTGTGCTGACCACGCCATGTGCTTCGCTGGTGCTCTTGAGACCGAGAGCAGACCAGCAGGGGTGAGTTGGTGGGGTCAGTGATCCAGTGTTCTGCTTAGCCTGACTGTACATCATGTCTTAGTTCCTGGTGCTGCTTGGCTGACCCAAACTCATTTGTGTGGAAATGAGTTGCTTATAAAGTAGAAAAAAGAAAAATCCATTGGTCATATGTATTCCATAACTTCAATAACTAGTTTTATGCCTAGGACTATTAAAAACTAAAGTAAATAAGAACATCTTAAATGTAGATTATATTTGATGTGAAAATTGAGCGTAGGAAGGGAAATTTTTGTTGAAAAACACTTCTAACCTGATTAAAAGTACCCTTCAAAAATGCCAGTGATGCTGGGCGTGGTGGCGCACTCCTGTAATCCCAGCACTTGGGAGGCTGAGGCAGGACGATGATTGTGAGTTCGAGACCAGCCTGGGCCACAAAGTGAGTTCAAGGCCAGCCTGAACTGCATAGTGAGACCCTGCCTAAAAAAAAAAAAAAAATGCCAGTGACATTTGGAGTCAGATAGTACCTGTAGTAGTACATATGCAACATCTGTAGGTAGATCAGCTTTTTAAAAGCTGTTTTCCTGGTTATTAATGACTTGACATTAGAAATTTGAAGATTATGTTAAATAAAAATTAGTTTTATTATTTCAACCTCTGGAATACGTGGTAGTAAAAAATTTTTCTGCAGGATAATATATTATGATAAAACTTATGAGTAAAACTTGCTAATATTTACCAGATTGACTTTTTAAAATTTTTTGCTCATAAAAATTACTTAGTACTGGGCATGGTGTGGATGCGTATGATGCTAGACTTGGGAGGCTTAGGCAGAGGGCTAGCAAGTTCCAGGCCAGTTTAGATGATTTTTTTTTTTTTTTTGAGATAGGGTTTCACTGCGATTCAGGCTATCCTTGAAGTCACTTTGTAGCCCAGGCTGGCCTCAGACTCGCAGTGATCCTCCTGCCTCAGCCTCCCAAGTGCTGGGGTTACAGCTGTGCGCCACCATGCCCGGCCAGTTTAGGCAAGTTAGAAAAAACCTGTCTTAAAATATTATGTGTCTGTCTATCTATCTATAAAATATACATATATATTTACACACAAATGGACTGGGATATATGTATACACACACATATATATTTACACACACACATGGACTGAGGTTAGCTTAGTGCTAGAACCCTTGCCTAGCATGAGTGAGGCTCCAGGTGCAATCCCTAGTATTGTATCTCTTGCTCCCCCTACTGTTAATCATTAGTGAAGCCTTTTTTTTAAAGAGATATGTAAGACCTCCGTCTTTTCATCATTTATTAATATAAACATGGACTGACTAATCTATTAGAAAATGTTCCTGAATTTTAAAAAATTTGAATAATTTAGGATCTATTTTTTAGAAGATTTTATAATCCAAGTCATTTTAATGTTCTAAATAAATTTATATTTGTTATTTTCCTAAAGTAAATCTGAAAAGTCAACTTGTTGATACTGCATTTTTCTTGTTGTTAAAGTTATTAGTTATTGGAATAATGATTCACATAGACACACAGTAAAATCTCATTGTTTATTGTTTAATGTTAAGAGCAGAATCACCCCATAAACTTACTCAGAACAAAAATTAAGAGTTTACTTTAAAATTTTATCTGAAGCACTTTTTTTTTAAAAAAAGTAATCAGCATGTCATTAGTAGCTTTTTTCTGTTTGTCAACTGGATATTCCCAGAATTGAGAATTGTGTGAGAAGTTTATAACAAGATAATAAAATAATAGCTGATTATCAGTTCCCCAAAGTAATTAGTAAAATGATACAGATTTTTTTTTTTCCAGTACCAGGAATCAAACTCACGACCTCGTGCTTGCCAGGCAGGCACTGTGCTGCTGAGCTAAATCCCCAGCCTCTGATACAGATTTTTTTTTGGTAGGTTGAATCTAGGGCACTGCATGCTAGGCAAGTGCTCTGTGTTTCACACTCAGCCCTTTTGAATTTTAATCTGAAGGAAGATCTTGCTGAGTTACCCAGGCTGGCCTTGAGTTTTCAGTCTTTCTGCCTTAGCCTCCCAAGTAGCTGGGAGAAATGTGATCATTTGAGAGTAGAACTTGAGGACGGATACATACTCCCCGGTGACTTCAGTCATTTCTCTTCAGAGTGGGATGAGCTGAATAGTGGACACCAGATGAATTAAGGGAGACCAGATTTCTTTGTGTTGAGGTTACTCTACTCAT